AAGTGTTAGTTAAATGTCTCCAACAAATTTTTATATCTGTAGACTTCAACTTGAACAGCTTCACATTTTCGAATCAATTATTTTGCAGATTTCCTACCCATAGGCCTTTTATCCCTTGTAAAGACACTGCCATCACCTATTGGATTATTACCAACAGTTAGATTGTTACCAACACTTGGACTGTTGTCTTCTTCAAGAAAAATGCAGTTATCCATAGGAGATTCGGGGGCTGAATTAGGAAAAAATGGTGTATATATTTTTAACTTCACTATGTTCGTAGGAGTTACATATTACCACCTGATATTGTTTTGCAAGATTGGCCAACAATGTTTAAAAGTAAAATGCTTGTTTTCATCTTGATGGTATAAAAGTTTTGCTTGAAACATTTGTATCAATAAAAATTAAATTAATTAATTAACTAATTTTTATAGGATATGTGTTGGAAAATTTAGTTTTTCAAGGCTTATTTTGGGCCAACTTTAAGCTCAAATTTGAGTAGGATCCACACATCTTTTGAGGTGGGTCCAAAGAGGTGACGTGTTCCTTGCCGTATGGAAAGTCACACGGTGAAGACGGTTCGTCAAAACCATTTATGAGTGCATAGGAAGTTGACGTCGTTTTCGGGTTCGTGGAATAGGAAATTGAAAAAGTAAAATGTGAGTTTCCTTAAAATGGTTATCCGACATTGAAAACTTAAGAGAACTTATGTGTGTATATAAGTTCTAGGTAGCAACACTTGGGTTGGGCCCCAAAGAAATGAGGAATTATGGACAAATGGAAGCTTGACTCAAACCACCGCACGCGACCACCGCCGCCACCGACCGGTCAAGCCGTGCCGGGTACAGTTGTGGGTCAGGTCGGTTCTAACATTAATTTATTGAACAAAATTTTTTCAAATTCTTGCGGGAAAATTATTTGAATTTCTTAACAAAATTAATTTAAATTTTGCGTCAATTTTTTCTATCCAAACAGAGCCCTTCTCTGGTCCATTTTTCCAATAGGTTCAAACTGTTCAAACAGATCGAAAAACTGCCCAGTAGTTCTAGACAGTTTTATAACTGCAGCAGTTAGCAAATCTGTCCAGTTTTCAAATTGTATCTGTTCAGGGTTTTTACACTTGTTCAAGTTCAAAATCATACATGTTCAAACAGCCACTTTCTGCCTATAAATACCAGCATGTTCCAGCAGTTTGGGACATCCGAAAATAGTCTGAAAATTTTATTTTCTTGCTGTCTAGATTTTGCTCTATTACATATACATATATATATATATATATATATATATAATTTAGAAAGTATAGAACATAGGTTTTATTCGCCGTACAAATTGTTTGGAATGCTACTATAATTTGTGAAGATCATTGTATCTTGGGAGATAGACACCTTTTATCCGTAAGCACCGCAGTGGGGCGAATCTGTCTTAAGGATATAGTGTCACACACTTGACTTGATCTTTTTGTACTTTTTCATTTCAATAAAATAAATTCTGTAAGTAATTTATTTTTGTTTGTTTGATTTTTTTCAAGTTATTTATTTTATTCAGAAGATTGTTCCAACAATCTTAAGACATATTTGAATTATTCTGGTTATACGGAATTTTTCGTTTGTTCCCTTTCTTCTTTTCTTCTTCTTACAAAAATGATGTTCTGTAGTTTTATAAAATAATATTCTGATTGGAAAAACAAATAGTAGTAATATATTGTTTGGCAAATAGTAGTAATATATTGTTTGGCAAATATTAGTAATATACTGTTTATTTTCTTTGACAACTAGTAGTAAAATATTGGTGTCATTCATAATTCAGAATATTTATTTGTGAAGTTAGTCAGAAATTAATTTTTTGTTTTCTAGAAATAATTTCTGAGTTTTCATTAATTAAAATTTTGTTTCAGTATTTTAATTTTTGAAGTGTTACAGAAACTTAATTTTCTGTGTGAAATTGATTTGTTTAAATAAAAGTTTATTTTATTTTCAAATTAATTGGAAATAAAAGTTACAATTCTTTTTTCTTTATTTTTACAGAATTTAATTCCGTGGTTTTGGTTTAAATTTTATGTGTAGTATAAAATTCTAATTATAATTTTGTTTTATAATTTAGAATTCATGGCTACTGAAACTGGTCAAACTAATGCTCAAACAAGTACTAGTATGGTGGCTGTAATTACTCTAACCCCTCATGTTATGACAGTGCCAGTCAATCACGGTGAGAAGCCAAAGAAGTTCTCAAGAACTGATTTTAAAAGATAGCAGCAGAAAATGTTGTTTTATCTTACTACTCTCAACCTAGCGCGTTTCCTCTGTGAGGATGCTCCTACTCTAAAAGAGAATGAAACCGACTGGCAAGTGGTTGTTACAGTCGATGCTTGGAAACATGCTGATTTTCTTTGCGAGAACTACATCTTGAACGGACTTGACAACACATTATGCAACGTCTACAGTTCTATCAAAACTTTTGGGAGTCTTTGGAGAAAAAGTACAAAACAGAAGATGCTGGCTCAAAGAAATTTGTGATTGGCAAATTCTTGGACTTTGTGATGGTTAATTCTAAGACTGTGATCAACCAACGGACTTGACAACACATTATGCAACGTCTACAATTCTATCAAAACTTTTGGGAGTCTTTGGAGAAAAAGTACAAAACAGAAGATGCTGGCTCAAAGAAATTTGTGATTGGCAAATTCTTGGACTTTGTGATGGTTGATTCTAAGACTGTGATCAACCAAGTTCAAGATCTCCAACTCATTCTGCATGACATTCACGCAAAAAGCATGTCTCTCAGTGAATCCTTCCAAGTCACTGCCTTAATTGAAATATTACCACAAGGTTAGAAGGAATTCAAGAACTATCTCAAACACAAGCGCAAAGAAATATTTTTGGAGGAATTAATTGTGCGTTTGAGGATTGAGAAGGACAACCTCAATTCAGAGAAGCGGGCTGGTAAGCATCCAATGGAGTCAAAGGCAAATGTGGTGGAACATGCTCCAAAAACTAAGAAACGAAAGTTTTCTGGAGAAATGTCCTCACAAGGCTCTAAAGGAGGAAAAACTAAAAAGTACAAGTTTAATGGCAAATGTTACATCTGTGACAAAGAGGAACATCGGGTCAAAGATTGCCGTAGCAAACGCAAAGGTAAAGGAAGATCAAGCAAGAAACCTGCTCAAACCAATATGACCGAAGTGGACAAAATTTCCAATGGTATAGATGACATAAATCTTTCTGCAGTTGTTTCCAAGGCAAATCTTGTCGAAAATCCTAAAGAATGGTCGGTGAACACTGGTGCTACTCGCCACATCTTTGCTGACAAAAAGAAGTTTACGTCTTATTTAGTGGTAGACAATGGTGAACAACTTTTTATGGGCAAATCTTTGACTTCTAAAGTTGAAGGATAAAGAAAATTATTTTGAAGATGACATCTGGAAATGAACTCACTCTCAACAATGTGTTGCATGTACCGGACATTCGTAAGAATCTTGTTTCCGGATCTTTATTGAGTAAAAATGGGTTTAGGCTAGTTTTTGAAAGTGACAAGTTTGTACTTACCAAAAACGGGATGTATGCAGGAGAATGTTACATGTCTGATGGCCTTTTCAAAATGAATGTAATGACTGTTGCACCCTCTGTTATTAATAAAAATACATCGTCTTCTTACTTGCTTGAGTCTTTAAATTTATGACATGGTAGACTTGGACATGTTAATTATGGATCTTTGCGTAGATTAATTAATATGAAATGTTTACCTAAATTTGACATTGATTTAAATCATAAATGTGAAATTTGTGTTGAGGCAAAATTATCCAAAACTCTTTTTCATTCAATTGAGAGAAGTATAGAACCACATGAATTAATTCATCGTAACATTTATGATTTTAAATTAATTCAAACTAGAGGTGGGAAAAAGTATTTTATAAATTTTATAGATGACTATATTAGATATAGTTATGTTTATTTAATTCGTATCAATGATGAAGCTTTAGAAACTTTCATTCAATATAAGAATGAAGTTGAAAATCAACTTGGTAAGAAAATTAAGAAACTTAGAAGTGATAGATATGGTGAATATGAATCACCTTTTGGTGAATTTTGTAAAAAACATGGAATAATTCATCAAATCACCGCTCCTTACTCACCTCAGCAAAATGGAATTGCTGAAAGGAAAAATAGGATTTTAAAAGAAATGATGAATGCCATAAGTTCTACATTACCTCAGAACTTGTGGGGGGAAACAATACTTTCTGCTAATTATATACTTAATAAAGTACCCTAAAAGAAAGTGAATCAAACAACTTATGAAATGTGGCATGTGTGAGTACCATCCTACAAATACTTAAAAGTGTGGGGGTGTTTGGCTAAAGTGGTTGTTCCTAGTCCTAAAAAGACTAAGATAGGTCCTAAAACCATTGATTGTATTTTCATTGATTATGCCAAGATGTGAAAACCCATCTTTTAATTATTCTTTAAAGAAAATTTATTAATTAATTTTGTCTACAGTCTATCTGAATTATACATTAGTGTAAAAGTTAGTTTTAAATTGACTCAAATCAATCACTAACAAGACATTATTAAGAATAATAATTTTGTGGGTGTTCAATATTTGTTGTTTATAAATTATTTTAATTATGATTCAATATAATAACTATTCTTACTAAATACCTTAGTTAAAAATCTTAGTGTGTCAATTTTCAGAAACCCACACAAAAAAAAATAAATAAATAAATACAAACAAACAAACCGTGGGCAAACAACCCACAGCTCCTACCAAACCCACCATCCTTTATAAAATTTAGGGAAGAACTTATGAAAATTAGAGAAAGTTTGCTCTTAGAAATTGGAGAAAGGGAATGTAATGGTTTTGAGGAAATAAAATAATGGAAATAATGAGAGGGAGAGAGAGATGTCTTCAATATTTATATGCATGCAAGCCTTCCTTGTGCATGCAAGCATCCGGTGAGAAAGAAAAAAAAAAGAAGAAGAAAGAAATCCCCAAAGCCACCAAACTTGGTGTTAGGAGAGGAAGAAAAGTAGGAGATTAAAGAAGCCAAAATTCTCAACCATTTTGTCACTCTATTACTAAGTAAGAAAACCCTCTCAATCCTCTCATTTTTTTTTACATAATTGAAATTTTCAGATTGTGTACATATGATACATTGTCTAAATTGTGTTGAAGATAATCTATGTTGAATTTGCCAGCATGTTGCCCGAATTTTTAGACAATTTTATACTCAAAATTTTGAGATGATTTCTTCTACAAAATTGTTGATAATGATGTCTAGTTTATCTAGAAATTTTTGGAAATAATTTTTGAGCTTTCTACGAATTTATACAAATTTTTAACTAAATCTGAAACTGTGTTGAGAATAATCTGTCTTGAATCTGCCAGCATGTTACCCGAATTTTTAGACAATTTTATACTCACAATTTCGATATGATTTCTTCTACAAAGCTGTTTATAATGATGTCTAGTTTATCCAGAAATTTTTGGAAACAATTTTTGAGCTTTCTACGAATTTATACAAATTTTTAACTAAATCTGAAACTGTGTTGAGAATAATCTGTCTTGAATCTGCCAGCATGTTACCCGAATTTTTAGACAATTTTATACTCCGAATTTTGAGATGATTTCTTCTACAAAGTTGTTGATAATGATGTCTAGTTTATCCAGAAATTTTTGGAAACAATTTTCGAGCTTTCTACGAATTTATACAAAGTTCTAACTAAATCTGAAACTGTGAGACAGATTTTACCATGTATTTGAAATTTATTTAAAATTCTATACTAAGCCAAATCTGGAAATTTCTGACTAGATTTGAAAATTTATTTAAAATTCTATACTAAGCCAAATCTGGTAATTTCTGACTAGAAGATGAAATTTGAGAAGTCTAGTTTCACAATAAATCCTTAGATTATGGGTTTGATCTATAAATTTAAGCATGGAATTAAAATAAAGAAATGTGACAAATCTGTGTCATAAACACCCTTGGAATTTCTTTAGAATTATTTATAAGTTATTTTTGGGAAAAGCTTTCTGAAAAATAACCATAACATGTTTATTGAGTATCCTGTAGATTGATATGAATTTTAGAGTTGTATAAGTAATGTATTTATAATTTTAATTGCAAGATATATACTCTGAAAATTTTCTGGACAGAATAAAATCACCACTTTAATATTATGCTAGTCTAATTTTGTAAATAAAAAATTTGTGCATGTGTGTGTTTAGGGTTTAATTCTTGTATCTAAGTTATTATATCATACCATGGTTTAAATAAATTGTTTATTTAAATTCTGTACTTTTATTTAGTATTGTGTGACACATGCAATATTTTATGATTGGGAATTTTAATGAGTTGTATAACATTACTTGTGATTAAAAATTTGGAGTTATTTGTGATTAATATCAAAATTAACTGAAATGATTAACGACATATACAAAGTTAACAATTGACGGTTAATACCAGTTGTTCGGGGTGAGTCTTGGTTTAAAGACTGTACGGAATTAAGAGTTGACGGTTAACACCGGTTGTTCAGGGTGAGCCCTGGTTTTGAGAATTCTCACGTAAATTGTGTTACGAAACTCTAAGATGGCACGGGACGTATTTGAACCCTTTTCGGTATTCGGTTTTGGAATAAGGGTGGATGTGCAGGTGGCACACAGGGAGGTTACTTACCCCTGGCAGACCGTTTCCTTGGGGCATCCTTCGGGAGGGTTTCAAATTAACCGTTGCCATACTTAGTGGTTGGTGAGTTAAATCTCTTTGGTGAGATTTCGAGTGTCACCTAAATTATTAAAATTATTGAAACTATTCTAATGGTTGTAATTTCTGTGTATAATTATATTGTTATCTCATGTTTAGAATATTATTATTTGTCTCTTAAAAAGAATGGTAGGTTGGTTACGTTTTCTTACTGTGTTGCAAAACTCATGGCATATATTTTGTTGCCCTGGCGTTTCATGCCAGATTATGTTGAAGAAGCGACTGAGGCTGAAATTGGAGCTGCTGCCAATATCGAACCTTGGATGACTTAGAGTCAATATTTTGTCAGAATAAAATCCTGTTATCCCTTGTATTAGGATTAAACTATGTTGTGACGTTGTGTGTGAACTTGTAGTTTTATTCTGTCGTTGGACTTTGGCTTTGTAAGAACTTAAAAGTTCCTAACTAGTAGTTAAAATTTTATCTAGCAAGTTATTGTTATTTAAAATCTTATGACGTTTCAAAAAAAATTTTGGGGCGTCACACAAGAATAGTAGTGCATATCGATTTTTGATTCATAAATCAGAACATTTCGAAATACATATAAATACTATTATTGAATCTCAAAATGTATCATTCTTTGAACATGTATTTCCAAATAAAATTGGACAAGAGACTAGCAATAACAAAAGATCTAATGATGTTATTACTAGTCATGATCAAGAACAAGAGCAAGAGATAGATTAAGATGTGGAAGAAAAACCTAGGCGTAATAAACGTGCTAAAATCTCAAAATCTTTTGGTCCAAATTTTCTAACATTTTTGTTAGAAAATGAGCCCTTAACTTTTAAAGAAGTGATGTCCAGTCCTGAGGCTCCTTTATGGAAAGAAGCTGTCAATAGTGAAATTGAATCTATCCTGCAAAATCACACTTAGGAATTGGTGGATTTGCCACAAGGTTGTAAACCTCTGGGGTACAAGTGAATTTTCAAAAGAAAAATAAAAGCGGATGGATCAATTGACAAATACAATGCAAGACTTGTGATCAAAGGTCTTAGACAAAAAGAAGGTCTTGATTACTTTGATACTGTAGACATCCTATTTTTGACCGTCCGTAAGACTTGAACGTCATCGTTTGAACACTCGGTGATCATCCTTGTTTGTGTTCGTTTTGAGTTCCCGGAGGTCTTGGCCACGTGCCCTACCTCAGGATCTCTCGACTCGACTGTTTTGTGTTTGGTTTTGCACCAAACACTTGTGCTTTGTCTTTGAGGGGTAGGGAATGGCTTGTTGGCCATTTTCACACATCACCGGCCATGGCTTGAGGCCACCGGCTGGGTTTTGTTGCCATCGGCCAAATATTTGGTCGGTCGGCACTCTGAATGGTCGGTCGGCCATATATTTTGGTCAAATTACATTTTTGGCTGGCCAACCACTATGCATCTGCTTTTGGCAGATATTTTGTGCCAGCTGTGATAGCTGGCACCCACTTTGCTCCCCTTTTGTATATAACTAATAAAAGTCTTGATTTTGAGTGCTTAACATAGTTGTTTAAGATTGCTTTGTCGTTTGGGGGTGTTTGACCCCTCTTAGGACTTGTTTGGCCCTATTTTTGTGCTATTTTGGTGAGCTCCAGGACCACTTTGTTTGGGCCTCCTCACCACTGAAATCTTGAGGGATTTCAGTGGTGAGGATGGCGCCTTAAGGTCCTAAGAAGGAGAGGGCCACCCCCTCTCCTTGTTGTCTTCAAAATGTGTCATTTAATCCTCATGTGTGAGCACCATTTTTGAACTCATGTTGGCCATGTTTCAGTAGGTATTTGGTAGTATTTTGCCATGCTTTACCTCTATTTTTACTTGGTTTAGACACACCATGCTTGCCTTGCATACATGTCTTGTAATGTCATGATTTGCCTTAACATGTACATAGCATTTAGACTACCATGCTCATGTGTTTTGGTCTACATTTGTGAAGCTTTTATGCTTGTTTTAGTGTGCTTGAGGTATGTTTTTGGTTATTTGGGTCATCCATGCTTCGCTTTGTACAGCTACCATGTAATCCCTCTTGTAGGCCTTAAGTATCCACTACGCCAAAATTGGGCTTTAGCAGCAGTTTTTTACCTCCGTTAAAGCTTTTAACGGCGGTATTAACGGCGGTTTTGTTACCGCCATTTATGCGCATGTCGAAAAAAGTACAATCGTCATAAAAAGGTAAATTACTGTTGTTAAAAGTCGACCAAAAACGGCGGTAACATAGGACCAAAAACGGTGGTTTTTTACCGCCGTAAATAGGTTCAAATTTTTCAAAAAATAATTCTTTCTTCTTGCACTCCCCAAGTCTTGAACTCTCAACCTCTCATCCACCCACACTAACCACTCGACCATAGCCACTCTTCATGAAATATATTCCCTAAATAAATATTTAAACATTAATTTTACTTAATTGTAGATGGTTTCGCCGGAGCTCGCCGGAATTTCGCCAGCAAAGACCGCCGTCATTAACGGCGGTAATGATTGGGCATTAGTGGCGGTTTTGTTACTGCCGTTAAAAGTAGGCATTAACAGCGGTTTTTTTAACGGCGGTAAAAAAACCGCCGTTAATGATACCTTTAACGACGGTTTTCGTTACCGCCGTTAAAAAAACCGCCGTTAATGCCCTGTTTTGGCATAGTGATCGGACCCTCTAACATGCTATTCTTGCATCATTTCAGCGGCTTAGAACCACTTATAGCATCATTTCAGTTCTCATGGCATGCTTGTATACTTGCATTTGATGTCCCTTTAATACTTTATAAGGTTGTCATCTTATGCTCCATGTTTGGCCTCTTTTGTATGCTTGCATGTTTAAACCATTTAGACGCCATCTAGGTGTGTCTTTGGTCTTGTTTAGACCTGCATTGGGGCTGCTTGGAGTCCCTTTGGCCCTTTGAGGCTTGGTTGGCATGGCCATGGTTTGAGCCCTTTGGTTGGCCTCAAGCTTTGGGCTTGTTAGCATGCTTTGATTGCTTGGTTTGGGTTGGTTTGGCACCATCCTCATGTGATTTTTAGAGCTTATATTGCTTGCCATATGCCCATGTTTAGCCTCTTTTAAGTGTGCTTAGAAGTTGCTCTTTGATGCCTAAGTGATGGACAATGTTTGCATGCATGCTTGTATGTGCATTTGGCCCCCATTTCCTTAGCATTGGCCACTGTTTTAGGCCTAGTATAGGGCTGCCCAAATTGGTATAAGTCCATTGTTTGCATGTTGTCGCATGCTCACCTTGTGTGTTGTATACTTAGCCTATTGCATGTGTTGCATGCTTCAATCGCTTTGCATTTGGCACGCATTCTCTTGGCTAAGTTGTCTAACATGTTATCCATGTTGCACCTTCCATGCTTGCATGGTTAAGCTTGCATACTTATTTGCTTAGGTTGTATGCCTAATGCATGCTTACTTGTTTGCATCTCATGTTGCACACTTAGCTCACGTGTCTAGGTTGCATATCATTGCATACACCCTTCACCTCTTGATCAAGCCATGATAGAGGTTGGAAGTCCCTTGGTATGTTTCTATGCATTGTATTTCATTTGAAATCAAAATGCACGACTTGGTTCCTTGGGCCATCACGCATTGAAATGCGCGATTGGTGGTCCGAGAATCAAGGAACATACCCCTTTGAGTCACAAGCATGATAAGGGATGTGTTGGTGCACACATTTGCTTGAAATACATTGTCATGCCTTGCTTTGCCCTCTGCTACTGTCAAAACAGGTTCTGCAAGAAGACTTGGCCGGTCGACCACATGGAGTGCCGACCAACCAATTATTGATGGCCGAGAGCTCAACAAATGGTCGATGACCATCCGGACATGGTCGATGGGGTTTCCACTTGGCCGGTGGTGTTCCACAGTGTCCAAAGAGTGCTCTCTGGGACTCTTGCAATTTTCAGAGAAGCAGAGCAGGGAAAACAGAGGCAACTTGTGCATGGCGACGGGTTTCCGAGCAAATCCGAGCATGCATGCATTGGACCCTCTTCCCGAGGCGTTTCATCGCTTTCTTTACTTAATTGATTTGTTAATTAATTAGGTGGTCTGTAATATTTAATTAACTTATAGGTTAATTAAATTGTATTATTCTTTTGGTCCCTCTGAGCAAGAGCGAATTTGTAATAAGTGTGGGTGCGTGTGTGTATGTCTTCCAACCCCCACTTCTTTCTCCCTTTTTACTTACCTGCTTTCGATGGTTAGTACTAGGGCATATTTAATTTAGCATCCTTATGCTATGCATGCGTGCATCATTCATCAGTATTGCATGCACCGGACTCGACGCATCATACTAACTGCATAGTATTTCAAATCAAACTTGAATACATGTTATCTGTCGCATCTCACATGCCATTCATAGATTAGCCGAGCCTATTCTAGTGACATTTTGTATGAGATACATTAGCCACCTTAACATGAATTAGGATCATGCATATGATTACTAACTAGTTCACTGTTTTGGCACGGAGTACGATGTAAGTGTTTATGCTTTAGCATCTCGCATGAATGTGAATATTAACATGATAACATGCTTACCATGTGGCTATATGCTTATGTGATACAACTGCATGAATGCCTGTGGGTGAAGGCTGGATTGTTTGAATTGGGATAATTCATCGAAATCCGTATTTTAGTCTACTCACGAGTTGCAAAATTCAAACCATTTTCCAAACAAACGGAAATGCGATGCTTTGTTCCGATTTAGGCAATTTAGTCTATACTTGTTTTGCTGTACACATCACATAGTAATTCTAGGCTAATAATCGGTATAAGAACACATAATGTTTTCAAAACAAGATATCATGGTTAGTAGAGGCCGATCTTCGGATCGGGCAAGAGGGGATGCTCATAGCTGACCTTCCCCAATCGTACCCAAATTCCCGAGCCGAGGCAACTTTGGTGATGACGGACACGTGGCCTTAGGCAAACGAGTCAGGGTTTCCTAAATTCCCCCATAAAAAATATTTAGGTGGCGACTCTGTATCTGGCAAAGCAGTCCATGTTTGACACTTCTTTTCTAAAAATCTGTTTTCCAAAACGATTTGCCGGATTTGGACTCTTTGGTTCAGATTAAGAACCATGACGATTTGAGAGTCCGAACTATAGTGAGCCCAAAATGAACAGAACGGGACTCATCCTCCCGAGGCGTTTGGGGACGTCTACAGATACATACTCATTGATTACTAAAATAACATCCATTAGAATGCTAATTGCTACTGCATCATTGTACAATCTAGAAATTCATCAAATGGATGTGAAAATCGCTTTCTTGAATGGTGAGTTAGATGAAGAAATTTGTACAGAACAACAAGAAGGATTTTCTGTTCCAGGAAAAGAAAAGAAAGTGTGTAAATTGGTTAAATTATTATATGATTTAAAACAAATGCCAAAATAATGGCACGAGAAAT